GATTTGTAAGCCTATCAAATTTTATTTAACCTCCGTTTAAATTAATTCTGACTATATACGTGCCGTACGTCCGAGTTTGTGCATCACGTATTATCATAGACGAGTCGCTGATTATTACATCGAGCCACAGTTCTTGTCGAGTCCGTTCTCCACCCGCACTGGTACATGTGGATCGGTCGCCGTCGCGATCGGACTTCTCGGAGGTAAAGATGCCGACGACGATGCCTTTAACAATCTCGAGCGCATTAGCGCCGCCTTACGTAGGTCGTGAAGCGGTGATGGATCGGATGGTGACGACGGCGGTAAGCTTCCATGGAACAGCTCCGACGCGCCTAAACCTAAACCCTACAGCCAGAGAAACCACGCCGTGAACGACCCAATGAAACCAAAAGAGAAACCAAGCGTCAGCCGGGATTCCCACCGAGTTCCCTCGGTAGTACTAATCAGCCACAACCAGGCTTAACTTCCGTGTGCTGATGGGAACGGGTGCTTTACTGGTGCGATGAACGCTTGATGACTACTCATCGTGGAATCGATTTAGGGAAGGACCATCGGTGAATATCAACTATGAAGTACGGGTTTATTTTTGCGACGTCCCATGGAGCATCGGGTCATATGACGAGTCATGACTCAAAAACGGGTCTCGTAGCTGCGCTGATCGGTGTTTCCGTGACGCCACTACCACGCGTTACTGACTTCGTGTCGAACGTCGAACGGACGGTGTCGCTCTCACCGCGTTACTCTAGCAAGAAATCAATACGATGACAAATAATCTATGCGCGTATGCGCCAGAGACGATTTCTCGACGGGTGCTCACAATCCGTGATCGGTGAACATCTCTTGGGCGACTCGATGGAGCACCGCGTGCCTGTTCGCAATCTCGTCCAAATCCGGCGAGTATCCGCCGCCCACTACACCCGCGACTGGAATTCCACTTCCAAGACACGTGTCTAAGACCATGCGCTCGCGTCGATACAGTCCCTCGAACGTGAGATCTAAATGTCCAAGCGCGTCGTTCGCCGTGACGTCCACGCCCGCGTCATAAATCACCAGCTCGGGTCTGAAATCCTCCAGGGACTCGCGTAGCGCCGATGAGACGACAGACATGTACTCATCGTCGTTCATCGATCTCGGAAGCTCCACGTCCCGCGTGCTTCGAGCCTTTCGCGCCGGGAAATTCGAAGCCGCGTGCGCTGAAAATGTGTAGCACCGGTGCCACTCGTTCTCCAAAATCTCCGCCGTCCCGTCCCCTTGATGCACGTCTAAATCCACGATCATCACTCGCGATAGCCTTCCTGAGTTCAGAACAGCCAGTGATGCGGTCGCTAAATCGTTTAAAATACAAAATCCACCTCCTCGCGTTCCCTTGGCGTGATGCGTCCCGCCCGCCGTGTTCACCGCCAACCCGCACTCCAAAGCCATCTCCACCGTGAGCATCGTCCCGCTCACCTCCATCAGCGTCCGCTCCACTAAAACATCGCTCCACGGCAGACCGATCTCTCGCAACCGCTTCGCGTCCGGTCCCTCTGAGCTCGTCGCCGTCCGCGTCCACTCCTCGCTGTGCGCCGCCGCGAGCTCCTCGAACGTCGGTCTCCGCGACGGCGAGAACGCGTTCGAGCTCGAATCACCCACCCGCACGATCCCCTCTCGCGCCAGCGCGTCGCGGACGCGCTGAAACACCCCCATGGGAAACCTGTGACCCCTCGGCAGCGTCGGCGCGCTGTACGAATCGTGATGCACCACCGGTACTCGTCCACCCGCCCCCGGCGCGCGCGCGTCTTCGCGGTCCAGTAACCCCGAGAATCTCTCCCCGGACGCGCGACGCGCCCATCGCGTCGCCCGCGTCGCCGTCGGTCGAAGCGCGCGCCGCATCGCCCGTCCAGACGCACCGACGCCCGCTTTCCAACCCTCGCGCGCGCGCCTGGCGCCCTC